TTTTTGTCTTATAATATAAATACAAATATTGCAAAAATATAATCCTTATTTTCAAATATTATCATATTAAATTTTATATTTAAATATTTTAAATAATTAAAAAAGTAGATTAGTGATATATTTATTAGTGATACAAATCGTCAAAAATTTTGCAATCAATTAGTTGTCAACTAAATGATTATTCGATTTTTATTCGATTTTTGTTCAATTTTTATTCGATTTTAATATAAGTACAAAAATTTTTCAATCGATTAGTTGTCAACTAAGCCAACTAATCGATTTTTCAATTTTTGAGTTGTATCACTAATATTTATAGTAATTATGCAGGCAAATTTGCCTGCTAAACTCTACAGAATAAGGGATATGAGTATGGTGGACAAACTTAAATTTGGTGATGATCATTATAATTGAATAAAAAAATTTTTCTTTTTATATGCGTTAAAGTACTTTTTATTTTAGTAATCTTTCAAAATCTAGTAATTAAATAATTAGAAACAAATTTTATAAAAGATCGAAGATATCTTATAATCCAATAGGTAGAATTTAATAATTTTTATACTATTAGATTCGTCTCAATGAAATGAATCAAATGGTATAAGCTTTATCAAATTATGACTACTAGATTGTAAGATATCCTTGATCTAGTAAATAAAAATCTTTCGAATTATTACAGTCAGGGATTTTTCAAAATTTGTAGATCATTTCTAGAATAGTCTATAATCATGCTTTGAAATGCAATTGGTGTTTGATAATCTTTTTATAGAAAAATTCTAAGGTATTTCATTGATCAAATACGTAATTAATTTGTAATAAAAATCAAGGCTAGCTATTGAAATACCTATTTTCAAGCATGTACTTTTAGAATCCCCAGGGATCCCGAGACTTAACAAACTAGTTTTTTCACAAATCAAAGTTTTAATTACATATATTTATATCTTGACTAATAATGAATTCTAAACCTGAAGCTAAAGATCTGCCCTGCATTTTTTCTTCTTTTGCTACAAAGCACCTGAACAGTGACCTGTTAAAGCATATAGAGAAATGTAAAGAAGAGAAGTGGTGAAATGTGTCTGCTCTTGCAGCAACAAACAAAATAACAGAATTGGCTAAGTATTTTCCTAAATTAACTTCATTTCTTGTTTCTATGGATAGTTATTCTATATGCGAAGAGCATTATAACTAGCTTGTTGCTAAAAATTTTTTTATTAATAAATTGAAGAAAGAAACAGGTCTAATTCCTTCAAGTGAACCTGATAAAAAAAAATTAAAGGTTTCTAACAATAAAGAGCTACAAGTTTCTGAAAAAAGTTTTGTCAATTTTGGCACTCAAGTTGATTTATTTGAAAGAACTTGTGCCGATTTTGGATCCCAAGTATTCTTTTCAGATCCAATATGTGAAATTCTTCAAAGAAGAATTGATGAGTTAGAAAAAATTAATGAGCAATTATTAAGTGAAAATAAGGTATTAAAAAGAAAGTTAAAGTTTACTAACCAACAAAATCGCATTTCTTCTGTAATAGAAATTGCCAAACAAGAACGAAGTAATTTATATTAAGACATAATAAATTTGATTAAAAATCAAAAGCAGTTTGGCTTAGATAGTCTTTTAGAATATTCTTCTTCCAAATAGCTTGCTGAACAGAATCTGGTTGCTGTTAAGTTTATAGAAACACTTGTGTATAACGAAAATGAGTATTAACTGAAGGAAGAAAAACTTTTTAAGTGTGTAGTAGCCATTGATTCTATATATGAGTCATGGTACTTCAAATATATGTCTGCAATTAATTTGGCTGCTTCAGCAGTCAAGTATTCATTAGCAAGATCAAAAATAATTATTGATATTGATAATCATATTATTAGCTCTGGTGGTTATTCAAAGTTCACCAATTGGTTAGAAAGTTTGGCCATAGAACCACCACTACTTCCTGAAGGTCTTTTGTTTTTAGCTTTTGACAATGAGCAAAAGGGTCAAAAAAACTATTTAGATCATAGTTATAATACAGTCATATTCTATACTGTTACAAGTTTTATTACTTTTAATTATAATCAAAGCAACAATATTCAGAATACAAATCCTTGGCTATATTCTGAGCTTACTCAAAAGCAATATAAGGAATTATTTTATTTAACACCAGATATGAAAGACGAAATTCATAAGGAACTTACTAACTACTTTTCAATTATTTTAGAGGAACTTCTTCTTAAGAAAAGTCAAGAAATCAATGTGATTGATGATATAATAAATCATCAGAGTCAAACAGGATATATGAAAAAATGTTCTTTTTGTCAAATCTCCGATATCAATAACAAGAAGTGGGTTTGTCCTAAGTGTCATAATAAATTACCTACAATTAGTAAGATTAATCAACAAGTTAATGAGTCATCTAATATTAAAAATACTAATAAAAAGTCTCTAGTCACCTATTCTAATAGGTTTAAAGAATTAGATATGCAAGAATCAGTTCCTGAGGTTTATATGCTACAAGTCTTTGTTCTCGATCCAATAGGTGTTAATCCCAATTCGATCACTAATATTTGAAAGGTTCTTGAGCATGTTGAAGAAATATCTGGAATTAAGTACAATAGGCGTAAATGAGTTGCAGTTATCTGTGATGATGTACTGTATCACTATATACAGAAAATAAAAAAGGATTTTTGCCCGGCTAGCTCAATCAGTAGAGCGTGAGACTCTTAGGATTCTAGTAATCTCAAGGTTGTAGGTTCGACCCCCACGTTGGGTGCTTCTAATTTTACTCTTCTTTTTCATCTTGCTCAATTAGCAAGAAACAAGATAACAATATCCTTACCCTCTTCAATTACCAGTTACC